GTAGGGAATGCACTTTGCATATGTCAACTGCACTGGTAAAATGGAAAATTTCTCAAATCATTCCAGATTATGGGGAGAAAAATGAAGCGTTATTACAACAGTTAATTATTTATGCATTTAATAATTCCAAGTTCAATGCCACTTTTGTCAGAGACACACCCTAAAGACTCAATGCCCTCATTTATAAAATACATTTCCTTTTATCCTCAGATTACCCTATAATGGCTGAAAATACATGAGTCTTTGCATATTCAATAGCATATTCAAGGACCTGCAAGCTGTGAAGTACCAAAACTAAAACCTTGTGAGGCAACATAGCCTCTCAAGAGTAAAAAAAAAAAATGGCAAAACCAGATAGAAACAGATTTTTAAAATGCAAAAGATATGTTAGGAGACGGTTTTTGTTTTCTCTTAAGCCCACAGTAACATTCCAGGATGTGTTGTGTTTGAAGATGCCGTTAGGGAGCATGTGGTGGGGCGAAAGCGAAGCGTCGCAGCAGCAGGAGAGGAGCAGTGCTCCAGCTGGCATGACACTCGCCCTTTGCTGCTTGTCCACCTGAACTCCGGTGCCGAGTCATCAGCCAGGGACAGAGTACTGGGAGACACCGCTAGAGCTGAGAAGCGACCCGCCTCTGTAATTAGTTATCATTTGTTAATGGGAACTCCTGCGGAGATGCAGCATCGGCAGGAACAGCATAGGCTGGCACTGTGTGTCTTAACACTAAAATGTGGCAACGGAACCAGCTGAGCGTGGTGTTAACCCGACACGCGGAGAGGGCTGGAGAGCTGCCAGCACTCCTGCGTAAGGGCCAAGGGAGCTTAGAAGAAGAGGATCTCTCATTCCACTTTTTTTTCCACAAGGTGCCTTCCCCTAGAAAATGTGACGCTGCCCTATAGCAAAATGTGGAAGTAATTTAGTAAGATGTCTGGCCATCTCACAAGGAAGAGGAGCTCTGGATGAGTTTTCAGGATAACTATCAAGAGTAAACCCTGCTGCCTCCTCCTCCAGACACACCTTTGAAACCCACGGCTCTTTTGCACTACTGCCTACCTTTCTGCTGTTCTTTTCTCTACAGACATCTTCGCCCAGTTCTTTCTGATAACGTAGGAGCAACATGAAGTCTTTGGAAGACCTGAATTTCTGACAAATCACTGCAGATACTAAACGTACTCTAGCACTTCCTAAAACCTAACAGACAAGATGAATTTTTGATTTTTCCTTTTCTTGAAATATTAGAGTGCAAGCAAGCTCAGCCCCTTGAGACCAGGGACACACCGTATTTCAGATAGATACTGGCTTTGTTAGTTTGATTTTATAGAAAAATGGCACTTACCAACATTCCGCGTGTGCGCATAATTGCAGACTGTATGTAGTTACCACAGCTGTTGAGCTAGGTTAGCTAGAAATATCCTTTTTGGACCTTTAAATAACATTAACATTAACAACAAATAACATTAACAACCCCCACCATGGCAGGGGGGTTGGAACTAGATGATCTTTGAGGTCCCTTCCAACCCAAACCATTCTATGATTCTATGATTCTATGATTTATAAGAAATGACCCATTGATGTCCGTGATATGTGACATTCTCAATATGTGATAATTTCACCTCTTTCACATACTGCAATGTATCTCCTCATCACTTAAAACTAAATAACTTAAAATAAGCATCTGTCTTTTACTCTTTTAGGGAGCCTTTTGAGCTCACACAATTTTAAACAAATCAATAGCAAACCGTGTTTTAAGCAAACTGCTTAACTGGACCAGCCACAGATACTGAAAGTCAGTCACAAAGACAGCACGGACGGCTGATTCATGCAGTGTTAAAATTCCAAACTAATATTCAAGAAAAGTATTATGCACTGTCTCGTAGAATATCGTACTAGAAAAATACAAATTGCTAAAGAGAGGCATGAGCGGAATGTGAGGGCTAAAATTCAGCATAACTCACCAACTCATAAACACTAAAAATGAAGTAAAGCGTGCACTGCATTCTGTTTAAGTGGAGTCTCAACAAATACAGTTTTGAGGGCTACAACTCACTCGTAAATTCTGGAATCTACAAGCACAGTATTTAGGGCTTATTCCTATGGTATGGAGACCGGTTCATGACAGGTGTAGTGTTTTCTTTGAGGTGGAAGAGAGAGTATTAAGCATTTCAAAAGTAAAGAATTATGAAAATCCTTTGAGACCTCTGCCAGAATTTCTTTGCATTGGTTATGTACTTCAAAAAGACAGAACTAAGGTAGAAAATTTTCAGGTTAATGAAAACAAGTTTACAGAAGCTTTGAAGAAACATAGCACATGATATAAACCAACAAAAAATTGGTTTATTAATTTTTAGTCTTCAAAGATCTTCATGTCATAATCGTATTCTCTCCTTGGTTTTGTCATATGTTTCTTGTATAATGATATAAGTTAATAAAAATACTTATGAACAGTTTCTACTCCAGGTATCTACCATTCCTATGTTGCAAAACATCCCAAACCTCTGAAATAAGGCATTCCCAAATACAGTAAAAATTAGTTTCCTATATGTGAAATCTTCCAGAATATATCCTGTGTATTTCTTTCCATTCTGAGCAATATGTCCAAAGAAATTTGCAGATGAACATCAAAAAATCAATTAGTTTCCATAGAAACCTTAAAAAAAAAATCAATTACCACAGGTCAGTCTAGGAAGACCCAGCTGTATGTTGGTAGAAGGATCGAAGATGAACTTTGAACTCTGAAGTCTGATAACTTTCAAATGCACAATATGAGATGTAATAAATAAAAATATAACATTTCTAGTATTGCTCGTAGACTTAATGCAGCTAGCTCAATTTTCCAACGGTTGCATTATTCTGCATCAGCTATCTCCTAGGGCTTGCTACAATGTTTATCACTATCATACATCTTGTTTTGCACAATACAGTGCGTATTTTTCCCTGTAAGTTTTTAATGTGATGAAGCGTTTCATTTTGAGGTTTCTAACTTAAGGTTTTCAAATAAAAAATAAAGTTCTGTAAATCTGTTTGTGATGCCAAAACGTATTTCAGTACTGCCGAGTTATTAATGGTGCCTAACGTACGCAAGAACCATAGGAAAACCATGAAAAACAAGCATTTTCTTTAAAATCAGACTGACGTTATCATGGAATGTGGATTTTGCCTTTTATAGTAAAAATCTGTGTCAGGAATACAGATGATTAATATGAAATTATAATTGCTCTAACAGTACAGATATAGAAACATAATCCTTTCTAATGCCCTGTAAAAATACTGCTAACAGAAGGGAAGGGTAGGAAGGAACAGGAATCGATAGCACCGTATTTTCCAAAAGAGAAACTCTGATGGCTCTGCCTGACCACAGCAAAATGGTTTCTGTTTGTTCACTCCTCCCCATCCCTAATAGGTCAGAACCTGCCACCTCCAAC